CAGCAAATTCAACATCCATCGCGATTATGGTAGCAAGGATCGTTTGCCGAGTAGTCATACTTGCTTTAACCGTAAGTTTCATCCCCCAGCATCGATTTAATGTTTTTTTTTGGAAGCAGAAGCTAATGATGGAACAGAACTTGACCTCCCCGAGTATGAAACTTATGAGGATCTGCGTAAGGCCTTGTACACCGCTATGACGGCTGGTGGCGAGTACTTTGGATTCGCCTAGAAGCACCTCACTGGCTCGCTTTCACGGACTTTGCTAGTACGACGGGTTTTTCCCTTACTCACGATAGCAACTTTTCGATATTACATATTACGAACTCTCTTTGCATTGCCAGGCGCAGGGAGGTTGTGCACAGGATATACCCTAAGGTGGGGATGGGGATGAGAGTGATTGTACGAGTATGAGCAAAATTGGAGGATTGGAGGAGTTTAGTGCTTATGAGTTTATGAGATGACGATGATCTGATGCGAGTCGGTTGAGCACATGCAAAGGCTGGGAGTGCAGGCCCAAGTCCTTTTTGCTGACGCGAGACTACTCGTATCAGGTTGAGGATGACTGGGTTATTTCTTCTGAAGTTTCTTTCCCTGTGAGGCTTCAGTTTGGTATTAGGTAGATAACCAATGAGTTTCTTTCCTCGGTTTTGTGTATTTGGGTGGCTGTGAGGTGGTGGGATGTAGCTGTCGCAAGAGAGTCGTGCGACAGATGGGCAAGCAGCATTCTTTGGCCAGCATGTCACTGTCGACGGCGGCAATATGTTAGATCCAGAAGTGTATACCGACCCAAGACGTATTGACTACCGACGTTATTTTCGAGTGCAACAAGGTTCTGTAGATGAGACCTCCAAAAAAAAAGTCCATCTCGTCTCTACTGGTCCAGGCAATCTCACATTTGGCCATGGAACACAGCTGTGTCCTGGGTGCTTCTTCACAGCCCATGTGCTTAAGATTGCTTTTTGCCATCTATTGCTGAAGTACGACTGTAAACTGGCGCCTGGAGCGAGCCTGGTAACATTGCACTTGGTTGGAGATTTGAAAGTTCTCGACCCGAGAAACAAGCTACGGTTTACACGTCGCAAAGAGGAGAACGACATAGAGCATCTGTCATACACGTGACCTTGATAAATTCGCACCTGTACAGTGTTACAAGCAACTGATATTCCAATCGAGATTTCTCAACAAGACTGTTGGCCGTTTTCTCGTGTTACTCGTTAAAGCTGTCGTCTATGAGTGGGATAATCGCAAAGCTCTCTGGGGTCATTCTCATGGATAGGTAAGTACGCGGCAGCAGTTGGAGGTAGTCCACTAGAGATATGATCTGGCTAGCACCGTTCGAAACCGCTTTTCGTTCATTGTCCTCTAGCTTTGATTGGTTTCTTCATTACGTAGTTTGGAGAAAGTGCGGGTGTGGGGCTTACCCGATCTGGGCAGTCAGGCACGGCTTACCGAATTGGGGCAACTATCGCATTCATACGTTGTGGGGATGAGCCACGAACACAATCATCATGATCTCTTATAATGAGCTTTGCATGTTTCTGCAGCACTGAATCTCGAGTTGCTTCCACTTTACAAACACTAAATCATACCGAAAAGTAAGTTCAGCCCCCCATTCACTAGACCCTTCTATCTCATCGTCACATCGCTAATGTGCTTCACTTGTATAGTGTCTGGAAATCTAGTACCTCTTACCGTCATCAAGGGCGCGGGTCATGAGTTCATCCCACTTCCGCAGGGCGACAACGCCACCGTAGCAGATTTCCACACGTACGTTTCTCCACACCATCTCATAAGTTCTCCTCAACGATCTAACCTCCGAGCAGCATCCGCACACAAACCACCGACTCACCCGCACATCTGACATCCGGCTTCTACAAGATCGAAGCTGGACCCTCCAAACCCGCATCTTACAACTTCGAAGAGACCAAGTATGTTCTAAGCGGTCAAATCGATGTCTTGGATGAAGCAACTGGGATCACGCATCACCTTGTCGCTGGCGACTTTGCGTTCTTTCACGTAGGATCCAAGGTCCAGTTCTCTACCAAGTCCAGCGGTATGGCCTTCTATGCTGTCACGAGGCCAATTAGAGTGGCGCATCCAAATCTGAAGGAAAGAGAAGAGAAGACGTCGAAGTTGTAAGAGTCATCTGCCACAATAGCGTACGATCATTAGAGAAAAAAGAGGGAGCAAGTGAGAGCATCAGGTTATGCCATTTTTGAAAGAAAATGAATTTATCTATTATCAACCGACCTGCTGGTAACGCTGTAAATGAGCGGTCCAGGCAGGATTTTTACTCGAACAATTAGTGCAGTAAAGCTACAGGTTCAAGTAAAACTAATGTCATTCACAATCAGTTATGTCACCCACCAAAATGTCAAAAATGTCTTTTGTCAAGCGCAAGCTTCTCACTCATCGCGCATTTACCGACAAGCATGCAGCGTGTATACATAGACATGTATTCGGTATCTCCTGTCAAGATTGCGTGAATACTTTTACTGTAAAATATATCACGAAATCCAGGAATCACAAGCAAGAGAATATGAGGATGTGCTGGAGGATGCGGAGCAGGTTGGTGAGCCGTGTAATCATGTGGTTTGTCACTCGCATAACGATGGCGATGCCTGCCCCATCTGTGTGTGGGGAGGATGTCTTGAGAGCCTTCTCGGAACTGGGTTGGTATAGTTATTAGGAGATAACCAACGGGGTTTCATCGACGCGTGGAGACGGCCGTGTGTAACGAGGGGTGTTCAGAACGATGATGCAGAGTATGTAGCCTGTGTAATAGCACCTGCAGCAACATTACAAAACACAATTTGCAAAGCACAGCAAGAGGTTGGAATGAATAGATGAGGTCAAAAATGAATTGCATCGCGGGCCTTGTTGGCACTCCGCGTCATTATATAACCCAAACGCCTAGATCAAAGAGATTCGTTACCATGATATACTACTATCGTCTACCACTTAAGCTTCTTGTCCTTGCCAATGAACTCATCAATGATGTCCAAGTAGTACTCCTTGAGATCCTCAACCTTAGGAACCTCGTCGCTCTTGCTGTAGAGATCGTAAGGGTTGAACGCCTTGACGGCCTCCAGCATGCGCTCATCCTTCTCGTTCATCATCCACTTGTACGCACCACCAGTGTGCCACGGGTAGAAAGAGTGGTACCTGATCATAGCAAGACCCTCGTCAGGGATGGTACTTTGGTCCTTCATGATGTGGTAGAGGTACTCGTCGTGGCCCCAGCTCAACATGACATTGTCCATGCCGCAGCCAGGTGTGTAGATACCGTGCTCGGTGCTGTAGATCTCATCCTTGTAATCTGGGTTGTTCTTGAAAGTGTCGGGGTAGATGATCTTGGGGGAGTAAGCGCAGCCGACAGGGAATGTGTCGCCAACTACGTCCCATTGGCCCTGGGCGTCGTAGAAGAAAAGGAGCTTGCCGAGGTCATGAATAAGACCTACAAGCTGGAACCAACGCGGCTTTCCATCGCGGCGAATGGCTTCGGCAGATTGGAGGAGATGCTCAATTTGCGAGAGGGAGGTGTCTGGGTCGGATTCGTCGATGAGTGTGTTGAGCTTCTCCATTGCTTCCCAGATGGTCATCTCTGCGCGTGTCTTGGCGTGGAAGGCGTTGCGCGCCTTGAGATTGTAGCCGACGGTTTGCTTCTCGTGCTGCTCGCGGTAGAAGTTCTTCACGCGGTCGCATGCTTCTTCGTACTGGCGGAACTGGGTCTTGTCCTTCTCAGCATCGAATTCGGATTTCTCATAGATGTCCTTCTCTTTCTGTGTCGCGGTGCCGTTCTTGACCTTCATGGCGGCCTTGAGGACGTTGACATCGTCGATGGCGTCGGAAGTGGCTTCTAGGGCAAGACCATCGCGGTGGTCGTTGAAGTTCTCAGCCACATTGGGCGTCTCGAAGATTGCGCCTGGTGCCATGATGCGAAATATAATTGGCTAAGAAGAGGGGTATCTTAAAAGTATGCAAAGTGCAGAAATGCGGTACGCTATGGAATGGTTGTTGAAGAGGTGATGAAGACGGGAAGTTAGTTGATTGATGTGTAGAGAATGCGACAAGATGAGAGCAGTACTTATCCTTTGTCCGCTACCACACAACGAAGCGTTGTATTGCCAGAACCAGCAGACATCATTACGTCCGAAGTAACCCCAGCCTGCCGAGCCTGAAATTCTGGAGTAAGATTTCTCATCGTCTCCATCTTTGAGATCCACTCGTCGAGGTCACTCCGCACCAGTCTGCCAGCAGATAGGGTCGAGCCAATCGCACCGGAGTAAGACTGCAATGTCAGGCAATTCTCGCCGTCACGCTCATCTGCCGTTGAGAAGCCAGAGGAGATCTGGGGTTCTGGAAACGCGACTAAGGGTTCTGGTGTGCATTCCGCCCGTGGTGGTTGGATGCTTGCGTTAGATCTGCCGTCGTTTGACGGGAGTGCATCGTGCGCGTCCGCATGGGGCCAGAGAGTGCAATTCTGCCCGCTCCGTCTGCATACAGTAATTTTCGCCGCCTCAACAGCCGATGGACCCTCTCTTCGTCGCGAACACTCGGCTGGGCCACCGATGATCAGAAAACGTGCTGCATGATGACGACCCAACTGGCAACATCCTGGGGCCAGGCTCAGCCCCTCCAGACACGTGATGCTCGGTGCCACCTTCCCCGACAACACCCCACGAACACGTTGGCTTGTCTGGGCAACTCCTACTGCGAAAATTTCGCGTGAGGCTGAAGCGCGTCGAGCGCGTATCAGAAGCCATCTCGCAGGCCCCGGACCGAAGCTACACCGGCGGGGCAAGCATGGCGGGACAGCATCGGACGTCGGGATGAATTATAGAGTCAATCAACGGTTGACGTATGTCTTTAGCCATACCAAAAGGGTAAAATTCAGCCACAGTATGGAGCTCCCAAGCAAATGCGAGCAAGCCAGCCCCTGGCCAGCAACATCCCCGGTGCTACTACTAATACCCCAAGCATACCACTGAGTCGCGATGAATCCCGCTCTCTCCAAGTTTATGCTCAAAAGTACACCCAAAAGTATCCTCGACCCACAGCCCGAAATGAACACTGCTATCCCCCTCAACACTGGCGCGACCATTCCCGCTCTGGGACTGGGAACGTGGCAGTCTGCGCCTGGCGAGGTCAAGAAGGCCGTTGTCCACGCTATCGAGAGTGGTTACAGACACATTGACTGTGCCTTCTGCTACCAGAACGAAGACGAGGTCGGCGAGGCGCTCCAGGATGTCATCTCGCGAGGAATCGTGAAGAGGGAGGACCTGTTCATTACCAGCAAGCTCTGGTGCACATTCCACACCCGTGCTGAGGAGGGTTTGCAAAAGAGTTTGGATCTGCTCAAGACACCCTACGTAGATCTCTACCTCATGCACTGGCCCGTTCCCATGAACCCCAAGGGCAAGTATACTATTTCTTATGGGCACACCAAAACTAACGTTCACAGGCAACCACCCCCTCTTCCCCAAGCACGAGGACGGTTCAAGAGACATTGACACCTCAATCACCCATCAGGACACATGGAAGAACCTCGAGAACCTGATCAAGTCGCATCCCGACAAGGTCAAGGCCATTGGTGTCTCCAACTACTCTGTCAAGTATATGGAGAAGCTTTTGGCCAAGGCTACCATCGTCCCCGCCGTCAACCAGATCGAGAACCACCCACTGTGCCCACAACAAGAAGTTGTTGACTTCTGCAAGGAGAAGGGCATTCACATCACAGCCTACAGTCCGCTAGGAAGCACTGGCTCGCCTCTCTTCAAGGACGAGGTCGTCAACGAGGTCGCAAAGAAGCACAGCGTCACCCCTGCCGTCATTCTCTTGAGCTACCACCGTAAGTTCGACCTAACACATGCTTTCTCGAGTACCCAACTAACTTCGTCAAAGTCGCCCGCAACTCCTCCGTCCTCGCAAAGTCTGTCACTCCATCCCGCATCGACGAGAACAAGAAGCTCATCTCCCTCGATGGCGAGGACATGGAGAAGCTGGAGAAGATTCACAAAGAGAAGGGCATCACCCGCTGCGTATACCCGCCGTTTGGTGTCAATGCTGGATTCCCGGATAAGCCTGAGGGTATGGATCTCAGTGGACCTTGACTACTTGAGGGAAGCAAGTTGTAGGTTTTGCATCTAGGATAGGACTAAAACGCTATACCCAATGAATTGTTATGAATTTCCAAGATCTTGAAACAGCCTATGTGATAGTTGAGAGGTCATGCAAACTGGTGAAAGGCACAAAGAACATGTCAAGCTCATGATTTTAAAAGAAAAAGTCTATGATTAAACATTGCCTCCTCTGTCGTGCAACTCTAGCGATCAGTCAATCAATCTACCTACCCATCCACCCACCATCAACAGTAAGCACCTCTCCGCTCACATAGGCACTTGCCGCACTTCCCAAGAAAACTACCGCGCCCTTGAAATCCTCCGGCGCTCCCCACCTTCCTGCCGGAATACGACTGAGGATACTCTCCGCTCTCTTCTCGTCCTTGATCAACGCCTCGTTCATATCCGTAGCAATATACCCAGGGGCAATCGCATTCACACTGACCCCCTTACTCGCCCACTCGTTGCTCAACGCCTTGGTAAGTTGTCCCACACCACCTTTACTCGCGGCATATGCTGGTACTGTAATGCCGCCCTGGAACGTGAGCAACGAAGCCACGTTTATGATGCTTCCGCGGCGACCTAGGGGAAGGTCCGCGGGTTGGCTGAGCATGTGTGCGCCTACGTCGCGGCAGAGTTGAAAGACAGAAGTCAGATTTACTTGGAGCACGGCGTCCCAGTCCTCATCTGGGAATTGGTGCGCGGGATGCCGCTTTTGGATGCCGCCGCAGTTGAGCAGGATGTGTATTCTGTGGCCGTCGGAAAGGATGCTGGGGATGAGGGCGGTGATGGAGGATTTGGAGGAGAGGTCTGCAGTGTAGATTGTGGCTTTGCGGCCGAGGGACTCGATCTTTTGTTTGGTAGTTTGGTTGCTGGTATCGCGCTGGGGAGAGGTTGTTAGCAGCTGTAGGGGTTGGGTGAGGGTAGTGAGGACGCACTTGGACGAGGAGGATATCCGCTCCTGCTTCTGCGAGGGCGATGGCCATTGACGAACCAATTCCTCGCGTGCCACCTGTTACGAGGGCAGTTTGGCCCTCGAGCGAGAAGAGCTGCTGTACAGATGTCATACTGGCTGTCTTGCTTGGTGTGGTTCGGAAAGCTTCAGAGAAGGATTAGAGCTGTTATCTAAATTCCAAGGCTGTATATTGACCTTAGAATGACAGAAAGTCTGGGTAAAGTTCTTCAAGAACCTAATGCAAGTCAATCAAGAAGTTTGAAAGCTTGCGGCAGAAGTCGACGGCTTTTCCTGCAGCACGATGTTTGGGTAGCTCGGAACTGCCTCGGAAAGGGTCAACCCCACCATCTGGGCATGCGTCGGCATCTGCTGTCCCGCTATTTCAAACGCCGAAGGTGGAATTTGTCTCCATCTGATGCATGCTATACTATGAGGCAAAGCGCGCCGATTATCTGGCGCGTAATAGCTTCCGATGCCTTGCGAGATGACTTGATGCTTGAATCTTTCCTTGTTTCCTGACTTCGACTCTGCATCGTGGTAAAGCTGGATACTGCCGTGTAACACGCCTCGAAGCTTCACTTACACATTTCTAACTTGATTCCACCATACGTAGCGACAACATGTCTTCAACAGAAACGTCAGACGCCACAAGGCAAATTCGCGCTTCAGTCCTTCATGGCGCGAAGGATCTACGAATTGTATGCGGCAACAATATTCCCTCAAGCTTGAAGGTGCTAACAAGAAGGCAGGAAAACCGCTCACTCTTCCCACCTTCCCCCACAGAGCTCCAAATCAGCATCCGCAGCACCGGTCTATGTGGCTCAGATCTCCATTACTACAGGCACTACCGCAATGGCGATATCATCGTGCGAGAACCAATGTCGCTGGGTCACGAGTCAGCTGGCGTAGTAGTAGACGTAGGCTCAGAAGTATCGAATTTCAAAGTCGGAGACAAGGTCGCACTGGAAGTTGGACAGCCGTGTGAGAACTGCGATAGGTGCAAAGAAGGGCGGTACAACATCTGCAAAGGCATGAAGTTCCGGAGTAGTGCAAAAGCATTTCCGCACGCCCAGGGCACTTTACAAGACCGTATCAATCACCCAGCTGCTTGGTGTCACAAGTGAGTGTCGCGCCTGTTATAATTGCTAGAGAGACTAACAATGGGAAGACTACCAGAGGATATGTCTCTAGATCTAGGGGCCCTCCTTGAGCCCCTAAGTGTCGCCATCCAAGCATCAAAACGCGCACAATTAGCACCAGGTTCAACCGTCTTGGTATTTGGAGCCGGAGCTGTAGGCTTGCTAGTCGCGGCTATGGCCAAAATTTCAGGTGCTGGCACAGTGGTGATAGCAGATATCGATGCCGGGCGAGTACAATTCGCAGTCGAAAACAAGTTTGCGCACCGCAGCTTCACAGTGCCTATGAAGCGTGGAAGCACAATAGAAGAGCAACTGGACATCGCCAAGGAGGTAGCTGCCGAGGTCGGAAAGCTATCAAAGGAAAGTGGTGGTGAAGTTGGCGAGGTGGATGCCGTATTCGAGTGCACCGGTGTGCCGTCCTGTGTACAAGCATCGATATACGTAAGTTGCGCCAACACAGCTGACTCGGCTATATGCTAACAGATTCAGGCAACACGACCAGGTGGCAAAGTTCTGCTAATTGGTATGGGTACACCCATCCAGACGCTTCCCATTTCCGCAGCTGCCCTCCGCGAGGTTGACATCGTTGGTGTATTCAGATATGCGAATACATACCCGACTGGTATCGAAGTCGTATCAAAGCAGGGCGATGACTACCCTGCCTTTGCCAAGTTGGTAACACATACCTACAAGGGCTTGGAGTCGGCCGTCGAAGCGTTTGAGATGGCAGGAAAGACAAAGGACGATAATGGAAAGCTAGTCATCAAAGTTGTGCTTGAGACTGGCGAGGAAGACAAGGCTAATCTTTGAAAAAGTCGAGTTTGGTGTTCATAGGTGTTAGAAGATGTAGCAACAGAAGCATGCAGTCGACATGTCAAGCTCGCTTAACATGCTTCGCATAGTTCTCAGTAGAACAAGATGTCCAATGCTATGTTTTCGGCTCTGTACCTTTGTTGGTGTTGGTAAACAAGTGACGTATGCGGGGAAGCATCAAGGCACCCCGGCTGCAAGCATGTGAAGTGTCGCTAACCCTTCCTTTTCCTTCACAGCCACGGCAACCCCAACCTTCCCCAGCATTACCGTCCGCCTCCGCAGCGCCAAAATCTTTGCATCTTAGCTCTGGGATTAGTGAGCGGTTTCGTTCCTGACGCAAGCCACCTACTTTGCGCGGGGCAGTTTCGCCCCAGGTGGCTGTTCGAAAGAGGAGATTTTCCCCATTCGTCAAAGTCCGACAAGCTGTGCCTGGCGCGACGCGACTCCACGCGTTCCCCACACTTTGTGTCAACAACGACATGCATTTCTCCACAGGTTTTCCGCGTTCCGTCTCTTGTCGTGGCCATACTCGTGCCGAGACTCCGATCCAAACATAGCAATGCACTGCTCAGCGTAGGCATTGTCGCCGCAGTCTGGGGAGTATGCTGGGGAAGCGTGATGGTCGACTTCTGGACGTAGTTGTGGAATCTGCATTCCCCGAGTTTTGTCCCTGGTGAAGCGTGTGAACGAACATGCACGAAAGGCTCAGATTGCGTCGTCGAGCTTAGCTTGGACCCTGAGGGAAGCTTTGACCAAGCACATCTTTGGCGATTGAAAGTCGGTGTATTCCCGTAGCTGCGCATCGCAGCCTATATCTCATCACTCTGGGCCTCGCTGATTTCCTGTAGAGCTCACTCACTTGCAAACATCTCCATTACCTCCTTTCATCCCAGCACATCCTTCACAATGGCACCAGCTATCCGCAGACTCCGCGTCGCCGTCTCAGGCCTTGGTCGCATGGGCGCTCGCCATGCAAACCACTTCCTTCACCGCACACCCAAAGCTGAGCTCGTAGCAGCTTTCACACCAGCTGAGAATGAGATTGCGTGGGCAAAGGAGAACCTCGAGCCATGGGGCGTCAAGATCTACACCGACTACGACGAGATGTTGAAGCACGAGGGTCTCGAGGCTGTCTGTGTAGCTACCGTTACCACCGTACACGCCGAGCACACAATCAAGGCCATCGAGGCTGGAAAGCATGTCTTGTGTGAGAAGCCGCTCAGCACCAAGCTGGACGTAGTACGTGAATGGCTATACCTGGTTTCAGAAGAGCGCGCGACTGACAGTAGTACCTAGGTCCACCAAGTCCTCGACACAGCCAAGCGCAATCCCCACGTCAAAGTCATGTGTGGTTTCTCCCGTCGCTTCGACTCTTCCTACGTCAATGCCTACAACATGACGCTCAACGGCGACATTGGCCGTCCTACAATCCTGCGATCACAAACCTGCGACAAGTACGTTGCGCAACCCCCAGATTCCCTAGTACAAGAATATGAGCTAACATACAAACCCTACAGATACGACCCATCTGGTTTCTTCGTCGCCTATGCCGAGTTCTCAGGCGGCATATTCGTCGACTGCAACATCCACGACATCGACCTCGCCCTCTGGTACTTCTCCGCCGAAAGCAAGGGCAAGACACTGCCTGTAGTCAAGTCCGTCATGGCCGTCGGCGTCACAGCGCTCGAGCCCGACCTAGCCAAGCACGGCGATGTTGACAACGGCGTTGGTGTCGTAGAATTCCACTCAGGCCAAATCGCATACTTTTACTCCTCGCGCATGAACGCCCCAGGCCAACACGACATGACGGAGATTATCGGTACCAAGGGCAAACTCGCCGTCAACTCGAACCCCATGACCGGACTGTTGGAGAGCCATATCTCTACGGGTATTCACAGGGATATTCCCCAGAACTACTATGAGAGGTTTGAGCAGGCGTTTGTAGAGGAGGCGAGGCAGTTTACTGATGCGGTGCTCGAGGGTAAGGAGGTGCCGATTGATTTGCAGAGTTCGATGGAGGCGGTCAAGATTGGTGTGGCGCTGCAGGACAGTCTGAGAAATGGCAAGAAGATCTTCTTCGACAAGCAGGGTAACAGGGTGGATGAGGCGAGGGCCAAGTTGTAGACTATTCAGTTGGTGGCGATATACCTGGTAGACTGCCCCAACGATGTGGGTAATTAGATGTAATCTCGGATCAAAAGTATTGAACGATTATCACACCTTCTAATGAAGTATCACGTCCCTGAGCAACTAGCCTGTCATGTTGGGAAAGCATGTACATGATGCACCGTTTGAGAGGCAGGGATAGATGAGTACAATGTCTTTGGCATTGATGTGGCTTGGTATCCGAGAGGTATCCGTCATAAGATATATGTCTTACAGTGTCTATCTACCAGTGTGCCTCCTTTTCCAGACCATGCCATCCGTCCATCCAACCACATCACTCGTATCATATCGTTTCGTAGAAAGCGTAAGCCCAGCCTAATCCAACACCCAATACCCATTTCATCTTTTGACCCATGTAGATTCATCTCTTCATCGCACAGGCATGTTCTCGACGTTCTCGAACGCGAAGCTCGGGCTACCTGGCTCAGCAGTAGCAGCCTGTGGTGGGAGATCCGATCGTGCATCACCTTGGCTACCGTCCTCCTTAACGACGGCCCCATCCTTGCCACCTTCTGTGACAGTGATGATCTCCACGTCAACGCACTTCTGCACCGTCTGCTTCAGACCGGGAACCATAGCGCGCAGAGTGTCAAGCTCGTCGAAAGCAAGTTCACGGTTCAGAACGACATCCTTGGGCTCACCGTTATCGAGACGACGCTTGAGACCGTTGATGAAAGGCATGGCTTTCTTGGATTCAGATTTGTCAATGGACTTGCTGATGGCCTTGATGTCGATGGATTCTGCGTCGCGGAGCATGTCAATGTACTTCTTCTGCCAAGCAGGCCACTCCTTGGCGGCGAAGATGATGATCTTCTTCTCCTTCTTGGGGTCGAAAGTAGCGGCTTTACCCTTTGATAGCTTCTTCATGGCGTTACCCTCCGCTGATGTGATGTTGGTTTGTGTAGTTCGGACAAACTCTCGCGCAGCGGTGAGGGAAGCGTTGGGCTCGGGGACCTTGGGCCAAAGCGCTTTCTGGATGGTCTCCTTGTTCTTGAGCACCTCAAGCCAGATGTACTCTGCCCAGTGAGGCGCGATGGGTGTGAGGAGAAGGGCCTGGAGTTCAATGAACTTCTTGACCAAGTCTTGATGCATACCGATACCCGCAGCCTTGGTGGCCTCGCGGTAGAAGTCACGCGCGCTGGTGAAGTCGTAGAATCCGGACTTGAGAGCTAGCTTGTAAGATGTGTTGGAGTAGTGTCCAAATGCCTCGTGAACCAAGAAGTTCATCTCGTTGTCGAACATGTTGTCGAAGAGCAGACGCTCGCTACCACTCTGTCGTTGGATAACGTCGGGGTTCTTGACCTTCGCTTCTTGCCTCTTCTCCATGTATGCGGCCGCATTGGGAACGTAGATAGCTTCGTTCATCAAGTCTTCACACCATTTGCGGAGCTCGAACAGCTTCAGGATGTTGCTATTCGCGACTGTCTCCTCGAAGTTGGCGTCTGAGATCTCGTCTCCTGCGTCGGCAAGGGCAATACGTGTAGCGTCGGCACCAAACTTCTCGACAGCACCCGCAATGGTCAGGAAGTTACCGGTAGACTTGCTCATCTTGTCACCGTTGAGGAGCAGATGTCCATTCACACGGAAGCTGCGGGGCCAATTCTCCTTGGGGAAGATGGCGGTATGGACGTAAAGGTTGAAGGTCAGATGGTTCTGAATGAGATCCTTACCACTGGTGCGCATGTCAAGCGGGTACCAGTAGTCGAAGTGTCGTCGCATAGTTTGCAGAGTCTTGGCGGGAATGTCGGATTGCGGGAGATCGGATCGGTCGCGGAGAGCGAATACATAATCCCAAGCCTCGTCAGTAAGCTGATCAGGCTTGACTCCGAGAGGACCAGGCTCCTTTCCGAACATGTCCTTGTGCAGCAGGTGGGCGAATGAGTAGTAGGCTTGGTAGATTGTGCTGTCTGACAGACTCTCGACCATCACACTTGGGTCCCAGGGTACCTTGGTACCAAGACCGTATGAACGAGCACATGCCCAGATGCTGAGCCAGTCGACGACTCGCAAGAATTGGTTCTTCGCCTCAGGGTAGTAAAGGTTGAGCTCGCCCTCAATATGCGAGCGGACCTTCTCAGCCCATTCACCGTCTCCGCCGTTCGCTGCTGTGCCGTAGTTCATGTACCATTGGTCGAGAAGGGCTGCAACACAGTCGTCACCACTTCGGCTGATGACCTTGCCGTCAGGCTCAGCGTACGGGAAGGCATCACCGGAGTCGATGAGCTGCTTGCGAACCAGTGGCTTGGCTTCTTCAACAGTCTTTCCGCTGAAGTCACCGTGAACCATCTTGCCCTTGTAAAATCCTTCCTTGTAGGCCTTCTCTTTGGCGTCGGCAAGCTTTGCAGAGTCCTTGGGGGATTGAATCTTCATCTGCTCCACCAAATGCTTTGCGGTGAGGTTACCGTAAGAGGGAGTTTCAATAATTGGCAGGAGGTCGTCAAACTTGACCCATTCCTTCTGGATACCGTAGTACTCGGCTTTCTTGGCGAGATCGAAGGACGTGATGTAGTCATCTGGCGAGTCTGATGGCACGCATGTGACAACAGCCGTACCCTTTGTGTCCTTTACTGTCTCCATGGGAAGAATGTAGACGTCCTTGTGGATGGAAAGCGGGGCGTTGACGACTGTGCCGACAACATCCTTACCAGGGAAGGTGGCGACAATCGAGTACTCGCCCCATTTGGCAGTGGTACCTTGGTATGCCATGTTCCTCGCAGCTCTCTCACTAAGGACGTAGTACTCGTTGTCGTTGATCTTGACCAAAGAGTAGTTGATCGCAGGACCTACGAAACATGAGGTCTGACCGTACATAGTTTCTGGACGAAGCGTGGCTGGGACGAAGTAGCAAGAGGCGCCCCCAGGAACGGCGTCGGCATGTGCCTTGGCGGAATCTGCCCACTTCACAACCTTCATCTTGAGTGCGGTGTACTCTTGGACGGTGACACCTTCTCCTGACTGCCTGTCGTGGTCCATGCATGCTTGGCCATCCTTTGGACTGTAGACAGTGTAGCGCTTAGCAAAGATGATCTTTCCCATGGCTTTCAGGCGGCGCATTTGCCAGGCAACAAAGTTGTCGTAGTAGGGGTTGGCATCAGTGGTGACAAACTGACGTCTCCAGTCTATCCTAGCTCCGAATGCTGTGAGATCCTTCTTAGCAAGTGGGGGGAAGAACTCGATCCAGTGATAAGGGTCAGAGAACTTGTGAATCTCCTCAAGAGGGATGCCCTGGGCAAGCATGATTTGGAACTGGTACTTTGTCTTGACAGTCTTGGCGGATGCCTTGCCTTTCTGTGCCTTGAACTTGGTGATGTCGGTCTTTGTCTCGGCCTGTGTTGGAGCTGGTGGCTCTGGTACAGAAGTCTCGATAACATCTTCGACAGGGCAGCGTTCAAAGTTCTTTCCGAACATCTCAACCTCCCGAACCAACTTGTCTGCACATGCCTTGATTGGCATGCCGGTCACATGGTAACCTAACGGGAAGAGAGCACGAGCGCCAGTCATCCTTCGGAAACCTGCGGTAAACTCGACTTTACTAGCAGTGAAACCATGTCCGGCATGTAGGGTACCGTTCATGTACGGGTAGGCAAAGCAACCAAACCATTTGGGGTACTTCTCGTGAAGTTGGTCAGGTGTGGTGGTGTCGAAGGGTTCTTCTTCGAGAGATGGGGCGTCGGGGTTGAAGACGCCTTGCTCTTCCCATGCTTTCTGATACTTCTTCTCTTGCGCGGTCAATGTGTCACGCTTCTCAGTGTTCTCAATCTTCAGTGTCTTTGACTCAGCCTCCTGCGGCTTGAGTTGTTCCAGGGTTGCGGCGACGGCGCTCTTTGGCGCGTCGCTGAGTTTTGTGGCCTCCGCCATCACGACAATCCCAGAAAGTAAAGAACGGTCGTAGAAAGAATTTGGAATGGGCGCGGAAACAAAAGTTTGTGGATGTGAGGGGTGTATGGAGGAAGATGGTGGCCAGTGCGGGCTTTCGCGGGTTAGTCACAACTTTTTCGATCTCGGTGCGAGGAATTGTGGGGCTGTTTGGTCTGTGCCTCAACTGTAAAGAACGTCAGTCAAGCATTCTCAAGAAACTACACCGCGAATCGACCAGTCACACGAGCCGCTCTATCACCGTCGTCGAATCGAAAAAGCCAGCGGCCATGCTGCGCCTCTTCAATCGCCTTCTCGGCCGCAACGAGAACACACTGCCACCCTTTGACTTCGCGCGCAACAAATACCCAGCCAAGAAGAAATGGCCGCCGAATCTGCGCGCCCTGACGGACAAGCAGCAGTTCCGGTTCGAGCGCAAGTTCAAACGCCGCATAAAGATGAAGTCTATACGGCCGCAATGGAACAAGTGGACAAAGGTGGTGCAGTGGAGTCTGATCAGCTTCATCGTCGTCTATGGCGTCTTGTTCCACGACTTCCGAAAGGACCCGATGAATCCAAGGCCGGGCGAGCAGCCGTTTGAGGGATTGAGGAAAAGGATGTGGGGATTGTTTGGGGGGTTCTATACACATACCGAAGATCGGGCTCCTGCGACTCTTGTCTCTCCGGGAGATAGTCGAGAACGGAAAGACGGTCGCGACTAGCCTCCAGGCTGTAGTGAAGAAGATTAGCTGGTGGAAATGAAGAAGAAGAGTTTATACAATGGCTTGATCTACGAAGGAATCATCAAGCGAGTTGTGGTCACATCGTTGAGAAACGATTGGAGTAGATGACTTGAAGTCTCCTGAATCAACATGGGAAATATATACCTGTACGGAGAAGGATAGTGAGGAGGGTAGTCTCCCATCCGCGGCATCGGCGGCGGAGGTATGTGTGCGGGTCTTGCCCTTGTCGCCTTGCCAAAATTGGTCAGTTTGCTAAATTGTGTTCAGATAAACAGAAGAACTTACGTCGTACATGGTGTAATCTTCTTCCCATAACTTCTTGACCCAGCACCTCCGCGGCCCATCAATCATTGTGCATAC